CTCCCCGAGCTGCCCGGCAGGGGGCGGGCCAGGGGGGCTGGGGCCCTGCGGGTAGTAGGCACCAGACCCCGGAATGGGAGTAACCCATCCGAGGGCTCCTCCCCCACGCGCCCCCCAGAAGTTCCCCAGCCCTCGGGGTCCCCACCCCAGGAGGATGGGCCGGGCGCGCAGGGAGCCCAAACCTCACCCCGGCTGCCAGGGGGAGGGGTCGCCCGCCTCTCCTCTGCCCGGAGCTTGGACTCTTAGTTGGGTCCTAAAAGGAAGGGGTCCAAAGGAGCCTAGGGGGGAGGCTTGGGACCACCATCCTGGGGCTAAATAAACCCTATGTCTGAGGCTTTCATGCTGGGTGGAGGGGGGGTGGCAGACCTGCAGGCCATCACCCCAGAGGCCCCCAAGCTGTGCCTGCCCCCATCCTGCTGACCAGGGTAGGAGAGGCCTGAGGGACTTGGGTCTGAGACATGAGTCTTGGACCACACCCCACCCAGCCTGATTCCCTCAGGTTGAGGTGGGGGACTGTCAGAGGCTTTTGTCTGCGTTTTGTTTTGTTTTGTTTGAGTGGCGCTGTCCAATAGAACTTTCTAGGGTGTTGTAAACGTTCTCTTTCTGAGCCGTCTAATACCTTAGCCACTAGCCACATGTTGCTATGGAGAATTTGAACTGTGGCTAGTGCGACTGAGGAACTGAATTTAAACATTTTTTTATTTAATTCTGATTAATTTTGAACAGCCACATTTGGCTAGTGGCTACCGTATTGGACAGTGCAATTTCAGAATCTCCCTCTCTCCATGCTTCCTTCCTACCTATTCTTTTGATCTTTTATCAAAAACATCCTCGGTCTGATTTGTCCCCTGTGCAGAATGGGGCAGTAGAGCCAGGGTCTAGGTGCATGGGAAGGATCTGACAAACTTCCAGAAGGGTATCACCTTGGACCTCCTCCCCGTTCTAAGACCCTTTGGGCGGTGGGCTGGACAAGGTCACTGAATCATAGGATTCTGGGAGGAAAGGATGTCAAAGGAAGCAGTTTTAACAACCCAACTGGTGCCCAGGCGCCCACTCCGCTGCTCTTTCTGCCTGAGAGTTCTTGCTTCCTTACACTCATTCACTCCCCAAATTTTGTGGCACACATCTGGGTGCCAGGCATGTTCCCTTCTCTGGGGTTCAGTCATGAACAGGAAAGTTACCTTTCCTGCCCTTAGGGGGAGAGAGGGAGAGAGAGGGAGGGAGAGAGAGAGGATACCAAGCAATAGAACTGCACAGAAATAAACAGATTTGTAAACTGTGGAGTGCAACGGAGGGAACAAACGGGGTAGTGACAGAAAGCAGGGGGCTTCCTAGCAAAGGATAATTAGAGAAGCCTCCTGTGAAGAGGGAACAGTTAAGCTAAGACCAGAGGGGACGTGGAGGGTGGGAACATTCTGGAAGAAAGCACAGCATGCCCATAGGCCACGAGGATGGGAATCTGACATTCTGGAGGAACCCAGAAAAGGCAGGTATAGCCGGAAGGGGAGGGAGGGACAGAGTGGCTGCCAGCGAGGCCAGCAATTCCTAAGCATTTATTTGGCAGATCTGGAAAGGGATTCTGGCACTGGCCTCAGAGCAACAGGCTGTAGAGGAGAGGTTTTGTTTTCGTTTTTGTTTTTAATCTTCACCTGAGGATATTTTTTCCATTGCTTTTCAGAGAGAGAGAGAGAAACATCTGTGTGAGAGAGACATCAATTGGTCGCCTCCCGCTCACGTTACCAGCTAGGGTGTAGTGGAGGGGTTTTTAAATAGTGTTTTTATTTATTTATTTTTGTTTATTTTTTGTTGTTTATTTTTGTTTAAAATATTACAGATGCCCCTTTTTCTCCCCAATGACCCATTTCACCCCCTCCCG